GTCTCTAATGTCTCCACTGGACACATGCCTGACTTTCCAGCAGGCTGTCTGCTCCCTCCCCAGCACACACAGACTCTTCTTGTTCTTCTACCGTGCTGGACAGCCTGCCCACCTCCTTGGGCTCTGTCCCTGTGTCATTGCTTAGCTGCTTTCCCCATATTTTGAAACTGAATTTTGAAAGTATCTTCTTTTAAGCAGGGTGGTGGTGGCACATGCTTTAAATTCCAGCACTCGGGAGGCAGAAGCAGGTGGATCTTTGTGAGTTTGAAGCCAGCCTGGTCTACAGAGTGAGTTCCAGGAGAGTCAAGGCTGTTACACAGAGAAACTCTGTCTCAAAAAAAAATCTTTTAAGTTTATTTTATGTGTTTACCCATTTTGCCTGCATTTATGTCCATGCACCTTGTCCTAAAGATGTCAGAAGAGATTGGGCAATGCTAGTGCATCCCTTTAATCCCATTCCACTAGGGAGGCAGAGGAAGGTGGATCTCTATGAGTTCAAGGCCAGCCTAGTCTACAAAGAGATTTCCAGGACAGACAAAGCTACACCAAGAAACCCCGTCTCAACCCTCCCCTCAAAAAAAGAGGTCAGAAGAGGGCATTGGAGCCCCTACAACTAGAGTTCCGAGTGGCTCGGGTTCTAGGAACCTAACTCAGGTCCTCGGCAAGAACAAGTGCTCTTAACTGCTGAGCCATCTCTTCAGTCCCCGAAACAGTGCTTTGTTTGTTTGATTGATTTTTGTGACATGGTTTCTCTGTGTACCTTGGCTGTCCTGGAACTCATTCTGTAGACCAGGCTAGCCTCGAACTCACAGAGCTCACAGAGGTCCACCTGCCTCTTCCTTCTGAGTGCTGGAACTAAAGACATACACCAGCACTGACCAGTTGAAACAATGCTTTTTAAAATATGTGCTAAAGGAAAACCTCAAATGCAGCTTCCCTGGGGCCTTCTAGGGCTCAGAGTGGCAAAAGCTTCATTAGGTCGGGCCCCAGTTAGGAGCAGGAAAGAGGATTTGGGAATTTTCCCCAAGGCAAGATAGATCTGTTCTCCATGTACCATCCATCTACCTATCTGCTATGTATGTATCTCTCTGTCCATCCATCCATCCATCCATCCATCCATCCATCCATCCATCCATCCACCCATCTGCTTATCTATCCACTTACCCACCCACCCATCCATGGATTCATCCATCCACTCACCCTCCCAACCACCCATTCATGGATTCAACAATTCACTCACCTGCTCACCCACCCAGGGGTCCGAGTTTCTTAGAGAACGAGGTAAGTGTAGGGCCATTTATCGAGTGCGGAAAAGGTGACGCGAGACTCAGGCCCAAGGTTACGCTTGCGGATGAACACTTCCAGAAGCGATGCCTCTTCTAGCACCTCACCTTTTGTCATGGCTAGAATTGGAAAGGAACCCATTAAGTCCATTTTCTCCACCTCAACGCCATTTCCATCTTGTCCACCAGAGGGCGGAAGTGCCCCGGCAGTTCCTGCCGGCTCCCCGCCTGGTTTTACTCTTTAAAGGGCTAATGGTTCTGGCTTCCTTTTCTTCTCTTAGACTCCAACTCAAAAGCCAGAGTAAAATCTGACGTCACATCACGTACGAGGAGAGGTTTGCTACTGACCTGTTTAGTGCGCAGAACAAAATCTCTCCTGGTGCCTGAGGTCTCCTTGAAGGGCACAGGAGACTTGACACTTAGTGATCCTGCATGGCAGCCTTAGGTGAGGCGCTACAAGGTGTGATCCTGATAACTGGTATTTTCTCTAGGATACCCGTGCATCACCCGTGCATAATTTGTTCTCCCCAATTTTTCAGGTCCCTGGAAAGCCGGAGGTTGATTCCCTCACCATGGCGTCAACCTCAGCTTCCTCCCACCGCATGTTCATCACGGGGACTTGAGAACTTGAGTGTCTCTGGGAGTGTCGGCTGTGCCGGTGTGTCCAATTCCCTTCTCCATCGGCTCTGCAGGTGACTGAGCTGAAGTCATGGAAGCTCCTGGGACCGGAGGTGAGGGCACCAAAAGCCCCGAATGGAAGAGATTATCCACAACAGACCCCGCTCCAAAGTACCAAGCCTGTAGGAACTGCAGATCCTCTCTGGTCTAAGTTATCCTCCATACTGTGGGCGTGGAGTTCATCTCTGCCATCTGGCTCCTGCTCTCTTCACGCCTTCATGAAAGCAGCTGCCCTGGCTTTTTATACTGTCAGCCCGAAAAGGGCTGAGGGCAAGAACTGTTTCCTAAATCTCAGATTCCTTAGAACTGGGGTGTTAACCACCTCGCCCCCATTCTCAGTAGACTCTAGTTCATGAGGATGTTCCTTTGTTGGTTTTCCCACTTCGTAGTACGTTGGGAAAAACAGAGCATGTGGCTAAACTTTTATAAACGCCAAATGCTGTTTCATATTTTAATTTTCCATTGGTGGCAGTGATATTGATGTTATTTAAAACGTTCTATTTAAGGGCCTGGAGAGGTGGCTCAGCTGGTGGATTTCTTGCCTAGCATGCAGAGGGACCTGAGCTTGATTCCCCAACAACACATGAAACAAAACAAAACAAACCAACAAACAAAAATGATGGCACAGACCTGTGATTCCAGCACTGGGGAAGTGGAAGCAGGAGGGTCAAGTTCAAGGTCATTCCCAGTTCTATAGAAAGCTTGGGGGCAGCCTGAGGTACAGGCAACACTGTCTAAAAAATGATTCTGTTTTTGTTTACTTTTTTCATTGTTTAAGATCTCTTGTAGTCCTGACTGTCATCGAGCTATGTGTTTAAAGTTGGCCTTGAACGTCCAATCCTTCTGCCTCTGCCTCCCAAATGCTGGGATTATAGGCATGAACCAACATGCCCTGCTCTTACATAGTCTTTCATTGTGAAGTACTAGTGTAAATAGTGTAAATATTTCTCTTTCTTTCTTTCTTTCTTTCTTTCTTTTTTTTTTTGAGACAGGGTCTCACTATGTTGTTCTGACTGTCTTGGAATTCACACTGTAGACCAGGCTAGCCTCACACTCAACAGAGATCCACTTGCCTCTGTGTTCCAAGTTCTGGGATCAAAGGTGTGCACAACTATGCTCAGGTAGTACAAATATTTCTGTTTATTTTGGGAGTTTTACCCTAAGCCTTTACTTGTCCATATAAAAAGTAGGGCATCTTTAAGTTGACCTTCCAGGCATGCATTTTGTTTTTAAGAATTATTACTGACCTTGAGACATCCAAAAGGCTAGAGACCATTGTCCCTTCATACCTAGCTCAAACCCCAAAGAAGAACTGACATCAGAAAACACTAGATTGCCATATCATACAACATTACTCTATTCCTGACTATTTAGTCAAGAAAATGGAAAACAAGACAGAAACTTATACACGAAGGCTCATGACAAAGTTATTCCAAGGAGAGAAACAATGCTAAGATCACGTGTCCGCAATGAGATGAGATGAATGGGTAAACGAAATGCAGGTCGTCTGACTGGGCACAGTGGTGCACACCTTCAGTTCCAGCACTTGAGAGGCAGAGGCAGAGACAGGTGGATCTCTATGAGTTTGAGACCAATCTAGTCGACAGAGCAAGTTCTAGGACAGCCAGGGCTACAGGAAGAAACCCTGTCTCAAAAATAAAAACAAAAAAGAACAACAACAATAAAAAAAATAAAACAAACAACAATAAAAACCCAAGGAATTCTTTTTTGCTTCTAAAATCATTGGGTTAGGTTTTCTGTCGCTTGCAGTCAAGAGTCCTGGCGGCCAAACATGCATTTCCATGGCTAGGCGACTGTTCCAGGTGTTGCCAAGAGTTCATCATTCTGATTTGTTATGTCCTAGGGAGCCAAATTCTAATTAATGATCAGGTGATCGATCAGAGAAGCAGAGCTCCTGTGAGTATTCCAACAGACAGTGTAATTCAGGGAGTTGCCTATGGGTGGCAGAAACGAGGCAACAAACAGCATGCCAACCAGTGAATGGCCACAGAGGGCGGAAACGGCTGCCTTCGGATGGGGCAGGATAGGGTGGGGTGTCCGGGACCAGGAGAAGCTGCACAGCAGAGCTAACCTGAGGTCCTGTGATGAAAGCCGGAACCTTAAGGAACCTGAGGGATGGGAAGCATCCTGAATGTGACTCAGGGATGTAACACAGCAGCTGCTAAAGATAATGCGCACACACAAATGCTCATGTGTGTGTGTGTGTGTGTGTGTGTGTGTGTGTGTGTGTGTGTGTGTATGTATGTATGTATATGTATATAATTCATAATTCTTTGGCTCTTTTGGGGGCCCACGACCCAGGTCCCAAATAAATTACACCGAGTCCGGTTGTAGCCTGGCTTATTTCTAGCCAGCTTTTCTTTTTTTTTTTTTTAAATATTTATTTATTTATTATGTATACAATATTCTGCCTGTGTGTATGCTGCAGGCCAGAAGAGGGCACCAGACCCCATTACAGATGGTTGTGAGCCACCATGTGGTTGCTGGGAATTGAACTCAGGACCTTTTGAAGAGCAGGCAATGCTCTTAACCTCTGAGCCATCTCTCCAGCCCCCTCTAGCCAGCTTTTCTTATCTTAAATTAGCCCATCTACCTTTTGCCCCTCGGCTTCTATCTTCCTCTATTCTATGTACCTTTCTTTACTTCTTACTCCATGGCTTGCTGTGTGACTGTGTGACTGGCCCCTGATGTCCTCCTCCTTTTTTTTGTTCCTTCATCTTTCTTTCCCCAGATTTCTCTTCCTATTTATTCTCTCTGTCTGGCAGTCCTGCCTATCCTTTCTCCTCTTTAACTATTGACTGGTCAGCTCTTTATTAGACCAATCAGGTGTTTGAGGCAGGCAAAGTAACACAGCTTCACACAGTTAAACAAATACAACATAAAAGAATGCAACACATCTTTGCATCATTAAAAAAGTGTTGCTCATCATAAACAAAGGCAACATATCTTTAATATTCTACAACACATCTGATATTCTACAACATATATATATACACATACAAACACACACCACACAAAGATGCACACACAAATCCTCATACTGCACATGCACAGATGCACAAGGCTCATACACACATGCATGTACACATGTGTGCAAGAACAGGCAAGCATTTTTTTAAAGATTTATTTTTATGTTTATTGGTGTTTTGCCTGCATGTATGCCTACGCGAAGGTGTCAGATCCCCCGGAACTGGAGTATTGTGAGCTGCCATGTGGGTGATAGGAATTGAATCCACTTTAACAACTGCATCATTTCTTCCGTACTCCCAACCCACAATGCAATTTACTTATTTTATGTATATGGAAGTTTTATCTGCATATACACCTGCATATCAGAAGAGAGTATCAGATCCCATAGGACTACAGCTGTAGATGGCTGTGAGCCACCATGTGGGTGCTGGGAATTGAACTTGGGACCTCTGGAAGAGCAGTCAGTGCTCTTAACTGCTGAACCATCACTCCGGAGAGGAGGCAAATATCCCCATTCCCCCTTCCTCTCCTTCCCCTCCACCACTGACCAAGCACCCTCAAAACTAGGCAGCTCCCACAGGCGCTGCTCCTCTCTGCCTCCTGTAAGCCCTTGGGAGCTGCTGGTCAAACTCAGATCTGGAGACAGCCTCCTCACGAGGTTAAGTGTGGTAGTGGTGGTGCTGGCGTTGCACATGTAGGATGGGCTATGGGACTGGACCAGCTGATGCATGAAGCATAAACAGCCATTAGCACACAAGTGCTAATGTTCGAGAAATGTGCTCCGAAGTAGGCCAGTCCTCACGGCTGCCATCCACTGCCGCATTGCCGTCATTATGGTCCCGTGTTGACAGTGAGGCTTAATTAGATTGAGAGCCCAAGCTTTCACTAGTGGGAGATCCTCCCTCCAGAGCCACTTTTGGTTGTCACGAGTGGGGGCAGGGCGCTGCTGGCATCTACAGGAACTTAGAGATGTGGTGGCCAAATGCTCCAATCCAGGACAGCCTCAGAAGGGGACTTGTCTAACGTCTGACGCGTCCACAGTGATAAGGGTGTGGCGAATGCTTTAGATACCAGCCCCAAATCAAGGAACTTAAAGAGAGTGAGCCCCCCAAGGTGTGCAGACCACATTCCTCCCAGGCCTAGTGCCTCCGCTGTTCCTGTTAACATCTTGGTCCTCAGCAGGCAGCCACCCTCCTTGGAGACAGTCCCTCTCCCCTGTCACAGCTGCCACTGACCACTCTTGGTACTTCCTTTTCCCCTTAAGCCCCTTTCAATTTCCCACTGATGTCTTCTGGGAAGTCTTTCTTTCTGTTTCTAGAATGGCCTCATCACGCCAGGCCCTCCGCAGGAAATTGTGAGCGAGCGTGTCTGTCATCCCATCAGCTGTGCAAGAGCCCTGCGAGGGTTTGCAGAGATGGATTCAGGTCAGGGCTCAGAGAGGAGAATGAACTCCCACAGGCACGCAGCAGAGAACAGCTGAAGTTAGGGATTCAAACCCAGGGCTGTGTCACACTGCAGGATGGCTGCAGGTCACCCCACCTAACCAGGAAACTTCCCACCCCGGAAACATTTCCAGAAAGATGCAGAAGTGGAGGAAACAAAAACAAAACAAAAACAAAAAAACAACCCACCCCATCTCCTTTATCAGCCACTGGACAATAGGAAGACTCAAATCCTACAGCCCTCAGCGTGGGTCCTGGGACTGCTAGGGAGACAGGGATTCCTGATGAAAGGGGCCCTGGTTGGCGCTGGAGGAGTCAGAGGAACTTCCCCAGGGGATGACGTTACCTGCAAGGAGGAAATTGCGCAGTGCTGGAGAGGGCCCTTGCTGTCTGAGATATAGATGCTGGGATGTAGGACCTGGCCATCAGAGGATGATGCTCACCTTCTCCTGTGGGGAAGGGCAGCTTGGGAAAGCACTCGCACAGCCCCAGAGTGGTGGCAACAGGAGACTGCCCTTGCACATCGTAGGAAGAAAGCAAACACTTACCTGGCAGGGGATGGGTGGGTGGCAGTTCCAGGGGATGGCCAGCTGGCCAGTGGGTGCTGAGCAGGGCTGGGTGTAGAAGATCTCAGTGCCGAGTGAGGTTCTCAATAATGATGGGAAGGCCTCAGCCGGTTGAAACCCAAGGTCATTCTTCCCCTGGCCTGGGGCACCGTGGCACCCAAAGTGAGTCTGGGAGAGTTAAGGCGGAGACACCCTGGAGCTGCTGGACAGCCAACTTCAATGCCAGTCCTTTTCCCTGTTGTCTATGCCAGCACAGTGACATTCATGACAACTGGCCTTGTCCCTCTCTGCTCCAAATTCGTAGCGTAGATCTACCATAAAAAACACAAAAGCACATGTCTGTCTGTCCTTTATAGACTGGCTATACCATGGCTCATCTGTCTTTGGCTTTTTGCTATTACAAAGCCACTATAAGCAGGGCATAAGCACATGTTTCCATGAGTGACCGGAGATGACAGGAGCTGAAACAGCCTCACCAGGACTCTGTTCTGGGCTACACTGCAAATTTGAGACCGATCTGAGCTATATTAGACCCTGTTTGTTTGTCTGTTTGGTAGGTTTATTTGTTTGTTTGTTTTGATTTTGTGTGTGTGTGTGTGTGTGTGTGTGTGTGTGTGAGAGAGAGAGAGAGAGAGAGAGAGACAGGTTCTGACCATGTAGCCTTGGCTGACCTGGAACTCAATACACAGATCAGGTCTTACAGAGTTCTACCTGCCTCTACCCCCTTGAGTGCTAGGATTAAAAATGTAGTCTACCATGCCTGACTGAGACTTTGCCTTTAAAAGAGAAAGAGATGAGACTGGAGAAAGGGCTCAGTGGTAGTTAAAAGCACTGGCTGCTCTTCCACGATTCGGTTCCCAGCACCCACATGGCAGCTTACAACGGTTCGTAACTTCAGTCCCAAGGGATCTGACAGCCTCTTCTGACGGCCACATGCACCAGACACTCAAAGACCTGTATGCAGGCAAAACACCCAGACGCATAAAGTAAACTTCAAAAAATTTAAAAAGAAGGAGAGAGAGAGAGAAAGAGAAACAGGGGTTGGTGGGGGAGGAAATAGCACAGCTGAGGGCGATGCAATTTTAATTTCATAAAACCGAAAATTTCCCTCCAAAAGATGGTGTCAGCTTACCGGAACTTATGATCGTGTTTTCTGGTTGTCACCAGCGCGTGACAACGTGAACTTCCACAGTGTGGATTTCACAACCTTCGAGGCTGAGGCATCTCATGAACTCTCTGCCATCTGCTTCTCCCCTCTGGTGCTGCCTGGCACCCTCCTGCACCTCCTGCTGTATCCGGCAGTTTGTCTCTCATGATACAAAGCTGCAACATTGGCTCTCAACCCAGGAGTGGAACATTTGCCCAGAATGCATCAGGCTCTTTGTGCGACCCCTGCTCCCCACCATCCTCCCCCTCCAAAGATGTCTGCAGTTGCTATATGAGGCATACTTATAAAACATTTTTGGGGAAGCAGCTATGGAGGGAACTTGGTACTCTGCCATTGAGCCACTTCCCCCGTCTTATTTATAAAGCCCCTCCCCCCAGCTGCTTTTTAAGACATTATCTGATAAAGCCTAGCCTGGGCTAAAAATCACTAAGTGGCTAAGATTGGCCTTGACCTCCTGATCCTCCAGCTTCTACTCCCACGTGTTGAGATTGCCGGTGTACGCCACCAGACCTGGTGTTATGGGGTGTCAGGAATTGAACCCAGGCTTTTCAGGCATGCACCTGCATTTAATCCCAGCACGTGGGGAGGCAGAGGCAGGAGGATCTCTGTGAGTTCAAGGCCAGCCTGGTCTACAGAGCGAGTTGCAGGACAGGCTCCAAAGTTACACAGAGAAAACTTGTCTCGAAAAACCAAACATAACAAAACAAAAAAGGTGTGGCTCTCATCTCTAGCCTTTACATATCTAAATGACCACTCTCCACTGTGTAGCCCAGCAAAGCCTGGGGCAAAGTCAGTAGGTCGGCACCCGGTTGCCTTGGCAATCCTGACCCAAAGTCTATCTCTCTGAGGATTCATCTCATCTGAGCCTAGCTTCTGGTGCTTCCTGGGAAACAGGCTGCGGGTCACACAGCCATTGCTTCTGGGGGTCAGATCTGGCTGAACAGTGACCAGATGGAGGCCATTGACTCACAGAAGACGGGTCTTGAGCCTGCACAGGACCAGGCTTCTCTTTCACTGGATTGAGCAAGTGGCTTGGGTACAGCGGAAGGAAGTGAGAGGCCCTGTCTCAGGACGACCAGTGTCTGGAGGCAGAGCTAAGCAGAAACACTGCCAGGCACCTGGTCAGATGCTGGAGGCTTCCAGAATCTCTTCCAACATCCACATGCTCTTTCCTTCTTTCCTATCTATCTATCTATCTATCTATCTATCTATCTATCTATCTATCTATCTATCTATCTA